GTCTTGATTATAATGAAACATTTGCTCCAGTTGCTAAGATCAGATGGTCACCGTCCGGGTTTTTCTTGCGGTGGCTGCCACTCGCAATTGGGAACTACATCAAATGGATGTCCACAACGCCTTTCTTCATGGCGATCTCGATGATGAGGTGTACATGAAACTTCCACCCGGCTTCACTCTGAGCTCTCCGGGCCTTCTGTGTCGTCTCAAAAAATCCCTATATGGGTTACGTCAGGCTCCTCGTTGTTGGTTTGCCAAGCTAGCTATACTTGAAAAATTATGGCTTTCGTCAGTCCTATTCGGATTATTCTCTCTTTACTTTTCATCGTGGACAGGTTCAACTAAACGTACTAGTTTATGTTGATGACTTAATTATTTTAGGGAATGATTTTACAGCTCTTGCGGCTTTGAAGACCTACTTTAACACTTGCTTTCATATGAAAGATTTGGGAGTTCTCAAATATTTCTTGGGCATTGAGGTTGCTCACAATGCCGACGGTCTCTTTCTATGTCAACGCAAGTATTCACTTGATATCATTTCAGACACAGGTCTTCTCGTTTCTAAAATGGTTGCTACTCCCTTTCCGCCGAATCATAATCTAGCTCTCACTACTACCGAACCCATCTCGGATTCTGAGGCATATCGTCGTCTTGTTGGGCGTCTTATTTATTTATCTTTCACCCGGCCCGACCTTACCTATGCAATACATACTCTAGCTTAGTTCATGCATGCACCTTGCCGCCGCCATTGGGATGCAGCACTCCGTGTGGTGCGCTATCTAAAGGGTTCCCCGGGGCAGGGTATACTTCTCAGCTCTCAGTGCGATTTACCCCTTTCTGCCTAGTGTGACTCTGACTGGGCTAGTTGTCCGCTGACTCGTCGCTCTTTGACTGGCTGGTTCGTTTTTCTTGGTAGTTCTCCCATCTCTTGGAAGACCAAGAAACAACATATTGTTTCCATCCTCCGCTGAAGCTGAATACCACTCTGTGGCTTCTGCTACATCTGAACTTAAATGGCTCAAGGCACTCTTGTTGAGTCTGGGTATTCGGCACACTGATCCTATGCAGCTATACTGCGACAGCCCGTCGGCTTTACATATTTTCACAAAATCCAGTCTTTCATAAACGCACTAAGCATATTGAAGTCGATTGTCATTATGTGTGAGATGCGGTTCAGGATGGAATTATTCAAACCTCTCATGTTTCTACCTCGGAGCAGCTCACAGATATCTTCACTAAAGTAAAGAGATGCTAAGTGATTCCAATACCCCATAAGTTTATGCAAAAATTTGATATTCAATCCACTCAGGTACTTCCATTCAATCAATCACCAGCAATGTATTCACCTAATACACTTTTTTAATTAAATCCTTGCGATTATTATTATACAGCCATTTTTTGCCATTTTTGTAAAATGATTGTGATTTTAATTATCAAACATTCCGATAAAAAATTGGAGTTTAATTTTGTTGTTGTACTTCAAACCATTTTTTGAAAAACAAATTACTGAAAGGCATGGAAAAGTTAATAGTATGATCTCGATTTTTTTTTTTTTGTGAAAGAAGTATGATCTCGGTTTTATCACTTGAAATTCCTTTAGAAAAATTTGGACCGAGAAAACACTTTAGCATGTGAAAGTTCACAATTTTTTAAACTTTAAATTATATGCAATGCTGATATTATTTGAAAAAACATAAAAAATTATTACCTCAGTCCTAGTTGGCAAGTGGAAATGTTGGCAAACTATTACAACAATTTTTGTAGGAGTGAACCATTAATTTGTTACATTAATAGGAAAGTGCAAAATCTTTTGAAACTACCAAAATTGAAATGTTGGCAGAGTCTAATGAAATAGAGGAAGTATGAATTTAGCTATTAATTTGTTGCTTTAATAGGAAAGTGACAAAAAAAATTTAGAGAACCAAAATATAAAAGTTGACAAAGCCCAATTGAACAGAGAAAGTATGAATTTCAATAAATTTTTGGATAAACTGGGATATAAATCTATGTTGTAAGATCAGAACCAGACCGTCCGGAACCCGGTCAACCGGCCATTTGTCCAGTCCGGTTGAGTAGCAACCCGCAAATATGGCCAAAACAGGAATTGACCATTGACCCGCTTGAACCCGGGACGGACTAGAACCATCCGAAACTCAGAAAATGCGAAAAAACGGGAAAATAAACCGCCTCCCAGATTCACACTCGTGCCTATTGGTTTAAATGTAGACCTGCTAACCAACGTCAGGGCCGCCGGCTATATGGGGGAGGCACCTAGGCACATGCCTAGGGCACCACTATAGCTAGGGGTACCAATTTTTAAAAACTAAACGATTATTGTTATATAATGGGTATATACTACTCCGTATATAGTATTCGTATTTGGTAAAACTAAGGGAAAACTGTCAAATACGTCCTCGAACTTTAATAAAAAGGTCAATTAAGTCCTTCTATAGGAGGTTCTGTCCGGCCGTCGCAATTTGGGGCAGTTCCCAGTAGAATTTTTTGATGAAATTTTTTGAGCATCTTATTCACCAAGTCTATCTTACTCATACCAAATTTCAGCTAAAAATTCAATCGGGAACACATTCAAATTAATTCTTGAAGATAACTGCACATTTTTGCGTTCTCGAATCAATTTGAATGCGCTCCCAATTAAATTTTTAGCTGAAATTTGGTATGAGTAAACTAGACTTGATGAATAAGATGCTTAAAAATTTTCAGCAAAAAATTCCACCGGGAACCGCCCCAAATCGCGACGACCGGACAAAGTCTTCTATAGAAGGACTTAATTGACTTTTTTATGAAAGTTCGAGGACATATTTGACAGTTTTCCCTAAAACTAAAATAGAATTAGAACAAAAGCAAAACTAAGGAAAATTCGAAAAGAATACCGTGTTCTTAATTTATGAATCTACTATATTTTATTTAGAATTTTGTAATACAAGAGATAATAATTTAGTACTAAGTACTAGCGTTACAGTTATTTTGTAAGTAAATTTTCTTATTGTTATTTTGATTAAAATAATTTAAAAATGTATTTTCATTCAACATTACCACATGATAGATAAGTCTTCCAGCTAAGTTATTAATTAATAGAAAAATGAGTAATTTACTGTTAACTTCAGTGAAGTACGTACTCACAAATTTTACACTTCTGAAGGAAAGATAATTGTTCAAAAAAGTTATAATTTGTTACTTTTAATAAACTAAATTATATACTTCTTTTGTCGTATTTAAAGATTCCCACGCGGTTTACGATTTTTCACTCTTCTTAAAATTAATTGATCCTTATCATTAATGAGATGAGATTATTTTTAGTAAATAAAATTTACATATTCAGAAACTATATTAAGAGTTTTATTATACTTGATCAAGAAAAATTAAATTTGATAAAAGTTGAATATATAAAATAAAATATGAAAAAAAATTCACGTTGACCGGAGAGTAGTGGATGAGGACCTTTATATGTGTCGGAGGGAGTATAATTTATTGTCTAAAACATAACTAACTAATACGGAGTATGAAAATATAATTTTAATTTTTGTCTAGGGCACCAAACCAACTAAAGATGACCAACGAGTTACACTAGGTAGCTGGGAATTACGGATGTTTATACTTAATCGTTTAGCTTTGGTTATTTTCTATCAACAATTATTATCATTTTAGTTACATATGATATTCACTACAAGAAATCACACTTTTTATGACAACAAAATATGTGACACACAAAAAGTTGTCATATTATGTGCATTAATAGTTACAAAACTCAAATTCGTCACAATAAAAGGTTGTGTTATGACAATATTATCATCTGTCATTTTAAGTCTTATATTTCGTCACTAATTGATGTTTACTATGACAAAGAATCAAATTTGTCACTTAAATTTTGAGCGCCAAAATTTGACGCCAAAAATTTGGAGGGAATTCTTTTGATGACATTTTAGAAACATATAATGACAATAATTTGTGTCACGTAATTTTTAATTATTATGACAAAATCATATTTCGTCACTAATTGTTTTGTAAAATAATGACAATTTTATTTTGTCATTAATGTTACCTTTTGATGACGATCAACATAAATGTGTCATACTTTTTTTTGAAAAAATATCTTTTAGCAAAAGTAAAACGAAAAGTTATATGATAGTATAAGTAACATTAATATTAATAGATAATGACACTATGACCCCATATTATTTATCATTTTATTCATAATGAGTCAAGTAAACTTAACTATTTTGTATTAAAAATGCTTAAATCTCGTATTTTGTAGGTCATCATCCGGTTTCCCGGTTAAATGCAGAAGAAGAATGGGTAAATGGGGGGAGAAACATACGGGCGGACGGGCCCGGTCTTTGGGAAAGAAAAAGAAAGAAATAGAAAGAAAAAAGAAAGGAGAAACAGAAAAAAAAGTAAAAGATTAAAAATTGGCCAACTAGACATCCACGTTGGCACAAACTGGGAAACCCGAAGATGACCTACGGAATAGCAGATTTGGTCGTTTTTTAATACTTCGTGGACTCAATTGATTCGTGAAAAACTTCGAGGACCCAATTGATTTTTTCGTAAAAGTAGAAGGATCTATTTGACAGTTTTCCCTTTTTTAATTATACTAATTTCAGTACCAGACCAGATCATACCAAATTAGACCTGATGGAGCTTTAATATATCGTATCAAATCAGACTAGACCATACTTAAACGAATCAGACTAGACTTAAACAGACCAGACCAGAACATGTCAAACTTAAACATACCAGACCAGACTTCCATATTTATAAAATACATAGAAACCAAATAATTACTAGACCGGATCAGACCAAACTCGAACAAGCCAGACTAGACCAAATCAAACCAAACTAGACTAGCAAATTTCACTTCAAAAAAACATCTTAAACTTCAATAATAGTAAAATAAAAAAACATTCATTATACCAGATGAGTTAAAAGTGTATAAAATTGATCCCAACGTGCAACCATCTTCCAAAATTAAAATTGAAGACTCATTCACAACTTATGGCATTAATTCTACTATATTCCTCTTTTGTTGTTTTAATTTAATCCTTTCACCTAGGTTGTAGAGAGTACTCACTCTTCCACCACACAACTCTTAGCCCCAAACTCTGTCAAAAAAAAACTCTTAGCCCCAAACAGAGTTTTATTATATTGGACTGATTAATTCTACTATGTAGCTTGTTCGAAGTTTTATTGTGATGCAATTTTGGGGAAGATGAGGATACTCTTCAAAAGCTCTACCCGAATGGTATGTTTTGGTCTTCCTTGTTTTCCATATTATTCATTTTTCTATAAAAATACGTAATATTTGATATAAAGTAAAAAAAAACTGCATCGAAATGAAGTTAATTATTTGTAATTGTCTCTATTTTTTTTCATTTGGATGATGAGGAGCTGGAGTAGTGTTTTGAAGTAGGAGGGAATAATTTTGTTAATAAATATAATAAATTATGTATACTGAAAATTTGTTAATTACCCCTGATAGTAAATTACTAAATATGTAAATACATATTCATACGATTCGTATCTGAGTTATCTCAACTCTTATTTTGGTTAATAATCTTCAGTTTTTTATTAGTAATATTAATTAATAAAAGAATAATTTACAGTTACCAACAAAATCTTAAATTAGTTTGGGCGCAATTTTTTTGGGTTTTGGCGGTCTTTTAAAAATTTACTCTCTATTATAATTGAATTCTCGACACCTTCACGCAATATCTCAACCCTAGTTTTTACTCTTTCCTAGAGTTTTCTCTTTCGTGGGGTGCTCTTCAAGTTACTTTTCAACGCAGGTTTATAATTTTTATCTTTACCCTTCATATGTGTAGTTCATTGTGGACGGGAAGTGTAAACTCATTGCTATCGTTTTTGCCATTGTATTGTATTATAAGAATTCAGATTGGTACACTCTTTTTAACTGATTTATATCATTCTCGATAATATACTTTGAGTTACAATATAATACATGAAGCACATACAATGGCTTTAGTTAGACAGTTTTATCATTAAATTTATCAAATGGTTTGTTTATAATTTCAGGGATTTGAGTTTTTATTCAATTAATCTTTTATCAAACATGTTTGTTTGTTTTTAGTACAAATCAATTCATTCTCTCCAGTATGAGGGGGTATTGAATTGAAAATTTGCTTATTCTTTTAGCGTGTTCTGTATGATGTATGAGTGTCTGTGTTGATGTATGAGCCTAGTTTGTGCAGTGCATATGTAATCGACTATACGCATATTAGTATATAACTTTAGTGCAGTGTGTGGCTAACTATTTTGTACAGTGTGTGTAGATATAGTTTTAGTTGGTATCTATTTCAGTCTTGTTCTTTTATATATGTGTGTCTTAGGAATGGCTCCTGGATTTAAGGGTAACTCAAAACGGAAAATAAACTTGGGAAAACAAGATGTTGTACATCATGGTTCTAAGAGTGGTCAAGGTAATTTGTTGATTACAAGAGCAACGACCAAAAGACCTTTTGACAAATCGCATGTGGCATCTGATGACACAACATCTCACAATCGACATCCTCAAAGTCCAAGGCATGACATTGTGTCAAATCAAAATTCTGAATCTGTATCAATGGAGAGCCTGCATGGTCTAACACCACAATCAAATGGGGTTGGAGGTATAACACATTTTTGTGTATTGAGTATTTTATTGAGTAGAATTCACTCACCCCAATCTTTTGCACTCATGCAATCTATAATGGAATACTACGTATAAGATGGAAGTTAAATGCTGATATATAGATACATGTTTGCATTTTAGTATAACGAACTGGTTATGGAAAGAATCAAAAGAACCAGTACATATATATCATTTAGTTGTCTGCATGGATGGAAGTTTAATAAAACTGTTTAGGTATATTAGGAATTTATGGAACTCTATTAATATATACTAAAAGTACTAACTACACTAATCAATTTAATATATTATACTCCCACCTTAATTACAAGAGTAATGTATAAAAGCACCATATAGACAAAACATAGTAGATAAGGAGTTAAGGACTGAAATAAGTGTTATGTCTATTAATACTTGAATAGTAGCTATCAAATATGTTCTGTCTCTTAGCTTCTTGAACTCATGCAATAGTTTGTTTGTTTCTTCTTCCAGGGCTAAAACAAAAGTAGGAGTGGTAAACAGAAAACACAAAAAAAAAGGAGTGAAAAAAACAGAGTATGGAAAAGAGAAAAATGATAAGAGATGAGAGATTAAGCTAAACAATAGTTTGTCTCATTTGGCTGCTGGGAAATATTCCCTTTCTTAAACAACCATGTTACCGATTCATCTTCACGCCCTATTAAAAGAGTACGTGGTCAAACAATGGGAAAGGGAATCATGAAGGCATATGATGCTTCTAAGACTAAAGTGAAGATAAACGTTGATCTGTCAATTGGAAGACCTGAGAACGCAGAAGAGTCAGCCAAGCTTTCAAGTCAAATCGGTATAATTACTCGCGATGTGCTTCCTGTTCCTAGAAGGTGGAAAGAAGTAGATGAAGAAAATGGATTGGCTCCTGGATTTGATCACATGCAGGTATGTAATTTTATATTGATAAGTTATTTTTACTTTTGTTGTAATTTGAAAAATGCTTTCAAAATAATGCAGTTGCATATGGATGTCAATATTGATGACGCGGGTGTCAAAGAAAGCTTGGTTGAAAGACTGAAATGTAGTACGCGACAAAAGCGTTACAAGCTATATCTTCATTACAAGAAATTTCAAACTCTGGAATTGGCTAAAAGTAATAAGCCATCTTCTTATCCAGACCAAAACAATTGGCAGTTGTTGTGTGATTACTTTGCAACAGATAAATTCAAGGTGATCAACGAAAACATAAGTTAGTTATCTACCGAAAGCTTTGCAAAGACAAATACTTATAATATTTGTAACTTGTAGAAATCAAGTATTGCGAACACGGAAAATAGGAAACTGGTACGAGCGCCACATATTTCAAGCAGAAAACCCTTCACTGTACGACGACTTGAAATTGTGAGTTAAATTTATTATCTTTACCCCGTTTGACAATATACGTTCACAATTTGCTACTAGTGTTTTCCGGATAAATGTATTCTCTTATATAATTTAACATACTCTTCTTTAATTAAATTTTTTATCTATGATAATCTAAATGTTTTTATCTAGTCTCAGAAGCAGCTAAATGGTGATTCTTGTGATCGAATTGAGTTGTATAAACAAACTCATTTTACTGAGAAAAAGGGCTGGTCATCTAAGGTGGCAGAAGAAAATTGGGTAAGTTATGTGTCTGTTTTTCTTATTTTATTCACAACTAATATTTTATATGACAAGAAGTAATGTTATTTTATGCCAGTAATTTATCCAATTAAGAGTTGATGAAAAAGAAACAAGAACAATATAAAGAGGAAGGTTGTGATAAGAGCACTGATGATATAGTTCTTGAGGTACTTGGTCATGGATCTGGATACATTAAAGGCCTTGGGTATGGTCCTAAACCTAGCAGACACAACGGTGCAAATCACTCCCAAACTCAGCACCTCCAAAATGAGCTTCAACAAACAACAAGAATTACAAGTTTCTGAAACACAATTTGATGGCCTCAAAAGCAAAATTCAAGTGGAAGATACTGAAAAAGAGGTGTTTGACTTGAGAAACCAGTTGGCTCAACAAGCTTCCAAAATGGAGCAACAAGATTCAAAAATGGAGAAGATCATGGCATTTATGGCTACCCAAGGAATGAATTTATAAATTTTGCTTTTAATTTATTGTTCCTGTATAGTTGGAAGTATGTTACGGTTTCCGCATAGGATTAGAATGCTCTAAAACTATTTAGCTAGTCAGATTTTTTATTGGTCCCATCCCCCAGAATTTACACTACAGAATCTTGTAATGTTTTTATTGTTTTAGCATTAAGTAGCGGTTATTATTTACTATTTAATTAACATTTATTAATACAAACGGTTTAGGGTTTTGGGACAAATGATTCGTTACCATGTCACAATTACGAATTGCTTTTGTCACTATACATTCCTAACTCATAAGAGATGACGGATTACTTTTGTCATTGTACCTTTTAATGACATTTATTTTGCATGACACATGTCACATTTTGCGTACAAAATGTTACAAAAAGTAAGTGTCATTAAAAATGAATCGTCACCTATACATGCATAAGTCATGACAACTAATTTTGTCACAAAAAGAAGTATGTTATTGGCAAAATATTTTCCGTCATTGTTTGTATTTTTTTCGTGACACTATGTATTGTCACCATAAATAGTATAGGTGACGAAAAAAGTTGTAACTAAATCATGCTAATTAATGACGATTTTTTAATACTATGACGAAATAACTAACCTCATTGTGACAAATTTATTGTCACTTCAAGTCCGAACACTAGCTAGAGAATAGTATGAATCGTCACCATAAATTACTTTTTATTTACAATTTAAGATTTCGTCATTTATTGTACAAGTATTGGTGACGAAATTCATATTACAGTGACAAAAAAATGCTATAAACGTGACACATTTAGCGTCACAAAAAGTGATCAATAATAGTGACGAAGTGCTAAAACGTCATTTAATGTTATTTATTTGGTGACGAATCAAAAATGTGTCACATTTACCTAATACCACGGAGCTACGGTGACGATCACTGTGACGATCAAAATTCGTCACGTAAAAGTTTTAGTGACAAAAAATGAATTTTACATGACGAAAAAAATTGTCACATTATGTCAAAATTCTTGTAGTGATTGTTAAAAGTAGTTGCATTTAAATTGCATTTACTATTAAAGTTGTTACATTTAGTTAATTTTACTATACTTGTCACATTATCATATTACTTAATAATTAATCATATTTGTTACATATTTATATTAACCATATAAAAGTTTTGAAATTAAAATATTAAAGTAGTGTATTTTATTTGTACTCACAATTCAATATTCTATAGACTTGTAGATTAGTCACATTTTAATATAAAAGTCACAATTTTGTTAAACTATCATATTACTTACATTTTAATATTAAAGTCACATTTTTATTTTAAAGTCACATCTTAACTGTACTCACAAATAAGTATTTGTTACAAATTACTTACATTTTAGTTACGTTCAACTCACATTTCCTAACATAAAGTGAAATTTTAGTTACATTTTTATATTAGTTGCATTTTAATTGTGCTCACATTGAAATATTTGTTAGAAATTAATATTTGTTATATTTTAAGATGGACCTTGGTAGACGTTATGTAGATATGAGTAACCTCAACCGCAATAGTAGGAAGGAGATTGCGAAATGACATCCTAATTCGCGAGGCAAAGGTAAAAACATGGCGAGTCTTCTTCTCAAATCCGAGGTTATTTTGATACGGATTACCAACGGAGAGATGCGATATTCGAGCGGGAACCGGATCAATTGTTGGCCCAAGGACATAGGCAGTATTAGCAACATGAAGACATTCTCGAGATTAACGGAGAGCTGGAGGATGACGAGGAGGAGGAGACGACGGTCAAGGAGGAACAAGACGATGAGCAAACCCCCGATGAGGAAACCCCCAATGAGGACGAGTCTGGTTCATCTTAACCCGGTAAGAAAGGTCCTTATAGAAACTAATTTCAAAAAGTGGAAGGAAACGAAAAGCAAGAAGTGGTGGACAACTTGCAACCGTTGTAAGAAAAGTATAAGCTTGTGGATTTAGTCAGGATACAACGGCACTCTTAAGGATTTGAAGGCTCGTCACCCCGTGGAGTTTGCAAAAGTAAAAGGCAAGGGGACACAAACTTAAATATCAAAGTTTGCAACTAGTCAACCCTTTGGTAATTAATTTTTCTTATGATGATTCTAAACATTTAACTGCTCTGTCTGAATTACTTGTTGAAAAAAATTAGCCTTGTATTTTTTTCTAAAAGTCTTTCTTTACAAGCTTATTCTCAAGGTTTTTTAAATCCTCAATTTCAAAACTATAGTCGCAAAACCATTAAAAAAGAAGTTATAAGGCAATATGTTTTGGAAAAGGCTAACTTAAAAATGTTTCTCGCAAACTTTGATGGACGTGTTAATATTTGTAGTGATATTTGGGTGTGACTGTACATTATATTGATGCTAATTGAGATATGTATAAACGTGTTAACGCTTTTCAAGAATTTAATGACTGGCAGTCTGGCAACGATGCTAATATTAATATTCTCATTGAGCGTATTTTAACTGAATAAGATTTGATTGATAAAGTTTTTCATATTGATTATGATAATGCTAGTAATAAGACTGCTGTTATATCTCGATTGTGTGAATTGTGTTATCCTTCTACTTTGATGGGTAGTTTTTTCATCAGCGTTGTGCATGTCATATTATCAATTTATGTGTAAAAAACAGTTTAACCACATTAGGTGATGTGATGGAGAACGTGAAGGGGGTTATTAGACTGATTTGGGGTAATAATCAACTGAAAAAGCAATGACGTCAATATTTGAGGGTTAGACGTGTGAATTATTGTACTTTTCCAAAAGATTTGTCTATTCATTGGAATATTATTTATAACTTAATTGTTGTACTTCTTAGATTTATTAAAGTTCATTTTCCTACTTTTGTAAAAGAAACTGCTACCTGTGTTATAAATTCGGTTGAGATTGACACTATGGAATTTTTTTTTTGCCAAGTTTGTTTTTTTAATAATGCAACTCTAACTTTTAGTCATATTTATAAACCTACAACAAACCAATTTTTTGTTGAACCTGTTAATCTCGCCGGTATTTTTTCTGAATTTCAACAAGCCGCTTACGATTTTTGTGATCTTATAAAAGAAAAGTTTTTAAAACATTTTACATATATTCTGCCTATATATGGTATTGCCTTTGTTTTTTATCCTCATTTCAAACTACATGCTTATCAAAATTGTATAGAGTTCTATTGTACTTGTTTTTTCAGTGCATTACCCATGTACGAAGATAATTTCATAGATCCTAAATAGCGATACAATGAGGTTAGTAATTTATTTCATCAATTATTTAATGAGTTTCATGCACATTATGCTAACGCACCCCCTCTCCCGAAATCAACCGCTTCTTCATCTAAAAGAAAATCATTTTTCAAATCTACATTTTGTTTTCTTATGAAAATAAATAAATCAACTCTCGTTGTTGCACCAAGTTCGATTAATGAGCTTTTTTTTAATTTTATTTAATACTCCAGATGGCGTTTGGGGTAGAGGGCTAGGGGCTGGAGTAATCAAGGCTGAAACTCACTCCATTGAGTTTCGAACTTGAAGCCTCCTGTATGGGAGAGTGAGTCGGCGACAAGTTGGACTGGAGTACTGGACCGCTTCCTCAACGAACTTTCTTTATATTTAATGTTTCCTGTTGAGTATAAAGGAGACGACTTTGACGTTCTTAAGTGGTGGAAGAAAAAAAAAAATATTCCCGATTTTATCAAGGTGGCGAAGCAAGTGTTTTCAATACCGGTGTCAACAGTATCCTTGGAACAAGAATTTAGCGAAGCTAGCAACGTCCTCACCGATTATAGAACAAGATTGAGCGCACATGCTCATTTGCTTTCACAATTGATTGAAGGCACGACGTAGAATTCAAGAAGTTTGCATCGCTCCGACCGCCACTTCATGGAGGAAACAACAATCGACAGTTCAACACTGACAGAGATTCCAACCGATTTTTACGAACTGTATTTAATGTTTGAAATTATTTTCAATTATCAATTGTACTTCATATTTCAATAAATATATACGTAGTATTGTATTTTTTTTGTAGCACTTGTGAAATAATTCAAAAAAAAGGTAAAAAAAAAAAACTTAGCCCAAGCCGGCCCCAGACCGAAGCCCGACCGGGCAGCCCGACCCAACCCGGTACCGGTACATACCCAAGCAGGTACCGGGCATGAAATTTCTGGACCCGGAGCCCAAACCGGACCCGTCCCAGGCCACCCCTAACAACACTGTAGTACTGCACACCCACTAGAGGTGCGATGGGCAGCAGCCTGGCAGTGGCAGACTGGCAGTGGCTCAAATGATAATGTCAAAACTCAAACGGTTATGTAGATTTGTGTAGTTTTTTTTTCTGCTTAGACATTCACTCAGCTAAAAGCTCTCTAAAGTCTAATGACAGTAAAACACGATAACAATCTCCAAATTAACGTTAAAAACAGTATTAGAAGGAAATTAGAGGCAAAATGTTTCATCTGGTCAGTCAAGGTACACTTTTACATCAATGCCACTATCAATGAGGGACTGAACCACAGCCCTGATTTTACCTTCAAATTTGTCACTATCACGGGGAGTGTAAGCAGTGGTATACACATCAGCTTCTCTTGCCCTGTCAGCCAAAATCCGTCCAACGGACAAACACGCGGGTATGTCGCTCCTTGATTTCAGCATTGCTTTTATATCCTTCGAATTTGTACCTGCGACCGCGACCTGCTTGCAAGTGACTCTGTGTGTGATTGAGGCCGAAACAAAGCGCTTCGAGATGAAGACATCAAGCGTGAAGGGTTCCATGAAAGCACCCGTCCTTTGTTTGAAAGAAATGTGCTTGCCTGGGTTCTTTGACTTTTTTCCCTTCTGGTACGTGTATGGCCGGCTATTGTCATCATCTACAAAATCCTCCACCCCGAAAAAACTTCTAGGCGAGCAACGGGTCTGAACATACAACATCAAGTCATCAACAATATATAAGTGTTAATCCCAAAAGATTTTGGGGAGGGTCTGAACATAGATATAGCAAAAAACAATATGTTTCGCAAACGTCACAACAGCGCTACTATGTTTACTTAAATTCTTTTTTAAGCTTTTAGATGAAGAGAGCCTACACTGTTATTACACTACAATAAAAGGACGCAATCAGCTACAGCTTATTGAAGCACAAGTCAAAACTGCCTGAGTCCCACAATCTCCCACAAAGGTAGTCTGGGTAGTTATGTATTAAACCTACATTAATGCCTAATTGCTATATTTATCACTTCTTAAAGTGTCGTGGTATTTCTACATACATTAT